CCCTCCCCCAGTAAAAAAAAAAAAAACAAAACAGTGTAATGTCTGGCTGGGAGATTCACCTTCCTGCACTTCTCAGAACACAGAGCTGCATCTTGAAATTAAACACCTCACTCAGTCCTCCACCTCTAATCAAAGGAGACTTGTGAGGTGGATATGAAGGTGAAGATACAGAATGTGCAGAGGAAGAGAAAGAAATACAGCAAAGATTCTAGAAACATCAGTGCACAAAAGGAAACCAATGCTTAGGAATTTGAGGCTTCCTGGAAGTAACAACTCAATATATATGGAGCATTTTTTTTTCTAAAATACAGAAAGCTTTTCTCAAATATTGATTATTGTCCCATAATCACACATATAAGGTAGAAAATGTTTGCTTGGCTTTCTAAAAAAATTTCGAGTAGGAATAAATACATGCAGGGATTTCGCTATCATAGATTCATTTAGTAAATATTTGCTGAGTACCTACTTTGTATAAAATAGCATTAGACCCTGTAACTATGTAATAATGTGTAGGACATAGAACCTACCTTGAAAAAAAAAATAAAGTCTTAGAGCCAATAAGGAATAAGAGTTCCTTAACCTGGAAAGAAGTCCAGCCCTCTCTTTGGCAACCATGGAGGACATTACTATTGGATGCCTGATATGTTGCCACTGAGATTCTCAGAAATATCCTCAGAATGCCTCTCAGACAGCATATCGTGGATCCCACTCACCACCAACAAAGCCACATGGTGCCAGAACCAACATTTGCATGTTGCACTGTTTTATGCTGCCTTCTTTGATAGTTTGATCAGCAAATGCAGAAAACTCCAATGACACCACATGGATCCTGCAGTTTATTCTCCAAAGAATTTAGGAAGAAAATGGCAGACTGGTGGTTAAATTAAACAAACCTATTTTCCCTGACTCTTGGAGCCTAATTCCAATATTTGACAGTTGGGTTGTCAGAAAGGACTTTTAAAAAGCACTCATAAAGCAAACAAACAAAAATCATTGGATGTGGAAAATGCATATACTTAACTCTAATTGTGAAATCAAATGTTTATCACATTACAGTTTTTCAGGAATTGGTTAAGTGTAAAAAACCCCAAGTGGACCTATTTAAAGGAACAGAAGAAAATTTAATAATGTGAGGTTGAGATACCTGTAAATAATCTTTTCTATTATATAAAAGTAAATCTTATATTCTGAATGTTGGAAGTGCCTCAAAATGGTGGATGATGCATACTGGTATTGGATGAAGACAGGGATTCCATAGAGAGGTGAAAAAAGAGTCACTAGGCTCAAGGAGTGGTTGTTCATGGAGAACTTACTCTTTAATGGCAAACTTTTCCTTTTTTTCATGGCCCTGGAGAATGATTATGGAAAATGTTTTATTTGAGGGTTTCTGTTGGCACAGGAGGCTACAATTTGGTAAGGATGATCATTATCCTCGCCGCTATTATTATACAGTTTGCTTTATTGTGATTATGGTATTTTACACATTCAGTTCTTTGTTATGCACTTTTTAGAGCTTATTTCAGGTAATTTTCTTAACAACTGAGACAGGTTGATCTTCTGTTCCCATTTTATATAGAAGAAATTGAGACTCTAAGAGGTTTAGGAAGTTCTCTGGGCAGTGAGAGTTAGGCAGGATTCCAAGCCATGTCTGCTTGACATGGGTACCCTTCATCCTTTGCCACCCTAAATGCAATCTTCTTTGCAATCCTATTGTCCATTAGAAGATGGATGGGGCGCTTAAATTTGTACCCGGGGTTAGTAAATTTTCTTTTTGTAAACAACCAGAGATTAAATTTTAAGCCTTATGGAGCCAAAGACTTAGAGCTCTGCAATTATAGCAGCTTGAGACAATATCAAAGTGAATGAGAATGGCTGTGTTCCAATAAAACTTTATTTATAAAAACAGATGTAGGGCCAGATTTGGCCTCAAGCCATGGTTAGTCCACCGCAGTCTGCAAGAACAAGGAAGGGGAGAGACAATTGCAGGGGTTGGAAGAATGTGGCAATCACAGGGTAAAGACCCCATCATTAATCTCAGACACTTTAAAATCTAATAATAAATTTTTGAAAGATTAGATCAAGAGAGAGAAAATATGAAAAGATATAAAAAGTAGGTATTAGCCAAAATAGGATTGAATAATAGTCAATGCCAGGTTTTAGAGATAGGTAATGGGGTGAACAGGAACAGAGCAAAGCATATATGCTTTTTAACTCTGGTGTCTGAAATTTATGGCATACAAGGAATAAAGGGACAAGAAGCATCAAGTAAATAGGCAAAGGCATTTGTGTGCAAAAAAAAAGAAAGCACAAAGACACATATACCATAAGTAAAATTTCAAGCCCCTCAACCATGGAGTGCCTATTAAAATAAATGTCATCTGCCCACACTAACAAACTGATGAAGCCAGATTATTGATTACCCTATGAAAGTTTCCATTTGAAATATCCTGTGGATTAATGCAATAATCAAATCCATTTCCCAAGTCTGTCCTCTGCTCTTCTCTCTCTGCTCCAATTTCAGCTCTGAATTGTAAAACAGGACATGGTTTTATCCAGAGCCTCACTCCCTCTACATTTCTCTGTGCTCTCTGTAGTCCTCCTCTAAGCCACAAACCAGAAGCCTCGGGAATCCACTGACAAAAAAAAAAAAAAAAAAAGGGCAGCCTCAGAACCATTTATTGCAAAGTAATTTTCCAGTGGAAATTGGATGCAGTTGTACGGTAGGGCTTAACTTCCTCTGCTTGAAGTCTACAACTTAGCAGGCTCCAAATCCTTGGCTCCTATGCAATGCAAACACGTTTCTGGTGCCCAGGTTTGCTTGTAGTGATGAATTTTTACTGGTAGGAATACTGAACATTGGAACTGGCAAAGGGGTACAGAGCTATTGGGGCATCAAATGATCCCCATTCCTAGCTCAAAGATAACAGATTGGGAGACTCAGACCAGTGAAGTCAGATCAAACAGATGATAAAAGTAGCTGTGCAGGTAAGGAGATACAATTAATTAAGCTCTAAAGTCAATGAGATAGAGTCTGCTTCCCTGGATTTACTGTATCTCCTCTGGTACTCAGACCTATTCTGGTCACCCTCTCCTTTGCCCTGAGTTATACCGGAGGCCTTCACCTCTGTTCTACTTGTTCTTTGATCACATTACCTTGCTCAGTCGAGTTCTACCTTAGACTCGCCTTCCTCCTTGTAGAGGTCTGCATCTATTTGCAGCAATGTTGAGCTTCCAGAAGTTGCCCCAGCATTGTAGTCTCCATTTCTCTGTCTAGGAACCACAGTGTTGACCACAGTGGTGGCATGGCTCAGATCTTTCAGAGAACACATTGAACCTCAGAGTGCACTGCCCATAGAGATAGCCATTGCCCACAGGTGGTTTTTAAGTATTGGAAGTATGTTGATTTGAGCTAAGGTGTGCTATAAGTGTAAAATACGTATCAGGTTCACTCAAACCCAGTACAAAAGTAGAATGCAAAGCAATGGTCATACCTCTTGCACAATTTCATACTGATTATATAGTGAAAAGAGAATAATTAGGATATACAGACTTAAATGAAATATTAATATGTATCTCACTTATTTTCTTTGACTTTTTAAATGTGGCTCCTAGCAAACTTAAAATTAACACATGTGACTTATGCTATTTCTATTAGAGTAACTGTGATCTCAAGCTATAAAATAAACAGTGGACAAAGACAGCAAGCTCTGAGGAACAAAATCATTGCACTGCCCCCAAAAGAATGTTCTAGAAGAGAATGTTATCAGGTCAGGCAAGGAGAATTGACAAGTTATAGGCAAAATTGCCTTCTTTTATGTCCCTAATAAGAATAGAAGTATTTTTAAAGTCAGTTGCATAGTATCTGCTGCCACTTATCTGGGGAGTCTAGATTTGGCCCCTCCTGACCTTGAGAAGCATGTTTTTCCTTCTTAGAATCATCCCTGGTCTGGACTGTGAAAGCTGTGAAGGAAAGCCTCACCCTAAATTCCCAGCTCATAAAACAGCGCCTGGCACTCAGGACTTCCGAATAAATATTTGTGAAATATGTTAAATGAATTGAAGCTGGCTGCTACTGCATGTTAGTAATACCTTGCTTATAGTGCCAAAATTAGACCACAATTACAATTTTTACAGTTTAACAAGTGTAAAGTAAAATATTACTGCCACAGCTGAATTAAAAAAAATAATAACCAAACCATTTTTTAGGGTAGTGATTCTTGTGATGGGGTTGGAATGGAACAGGGCCTTTCCAAACAGGACAGCTTCCCCATGAGGCGCTGTTCCCTATTACCTTGAGGGCTGATTGAGAGCCCTCTGGCATGACAGGTAGAAAATAGGTTAAAAATCAGCATTTGAATTAATTCAGCCAACCACTAGTAGGATCTTTCTTAATACTTATAAGCTCATCCCAGAGAGGCCTTCTGGAACAGACAGCCTGGTCAGCTGCATAGGGGCCCATGCTCAGAGGACCTGGGCTTGACTCCAGGACCTGTTATCACTGCCTTGAAATTCTGAATAATCTTACCCTTGGATTTGTGTTTTATAAACAAAGCCAAATGGGACAGATGAGATGCACAGAAGAGATGAGCGTCATACTGTTATAGTTAAAGCTTTGTCCCAGGGTTTCATAAACTGACTTCCAGACCATTCACGTATAATCCGTATAATCGAATCAAGCCTTTATTGAAGCACACCGGTGGTGGCTAACCAGAACATAAAGCTGTTCCCTGATCAGCTCCGAACAATTGCAAGGGCACTCCTTATAAGCCTGAAAACCGCAAAAGGGATGTTCAGGGGGTCTAGCTAATGCAAGCAAGCCAGGTTACAGAAGTGGGATAGTGCAGTCACGCGGAGGGAAGCCTAACCAATCACAGTTAGCCCAGTCACCCCAGTTACAGAAACAGAGCCCTGTTACCCTAGTTACAGAAACAATACCCCATTAGGTAGTTCTGTGTTCTTAAGGGTTTCTATAGCAAAAGGAAAAGAACATCTTGCTCCAGTCATGACTCTTCTACTTGGAATGGTTGTTTTACAGGATGAAGTCATAAAACAAAATGGAGTCACATTTGCTTCTACTATCACAATACGTGTCTCTGCCATTCCTCGCCCCCACCCACCTGAGCATTCATGATGCCACATTCTGGTGGATCCAGGAGTTGAAAGTCAGAAAGTCAGAGACGCCGTGTGAACACAAGGCAACTGTGGTACATCCATGGGTGAGTAAGCGAGATGATGACAACCCTAGAGGCCTTCCACTCTGTTCAAAACAGAATCTGCCTCTGATATGGAAAGAAAGCAGTGGCATTCTAAAAAACACAAATGGTCAAGGAACTTTATCAGATCCTCTTTGGGTCCTGCAAGTTCCCTGTGTCCTTCAACCACTTACACTAAAAATGATGAGATGGAAGAAAAGGGGAAGTCAGGGCAATTAGATTTCCTCTTCTCTGAATTCTTTTTTTACTCATTCATAAACAAAAAGCAAGGTGTAGGTAGAAATTTTTTTTGCACAGAACTAGAACTGAAATTCAAACTTTGGAGTTGGTCCTGTGTCATATTTCCATGCCAGTGTCCTTCAGGAACACCCCTATCACTTGACAACTGGAACTTATTACTCATTGCGGTGAAGGAGGACACGTGACCATAGGAATCGTGGGGAGTCTCAGCAAGAGGACATTAGGGCTATTAAAGGATTAGGGTTTTGGCTTGGTGATTTTTGGAGAGATTCTAAGGAAATAGAGGCTTTCCCCAAATTGGATATCATCTGAAAATGGAGACAATTCTCTGATCGGGTCTCTCAATAAATCTCAGCTAGAGGAAGGGCAGACTAGAGCCAAGATAAAGATGTAATTGGTAATGACATAGCAGTTGCTCACTGAGTAAGAGGAGGGACATATGGTACTTTGCGGATTGCTTGGTGAGTAGGTCTCAGTGGTTGTTCTATGAGATTATGTCCAAATAGAGCACATGGCTTAGCTGTGGCAGATCAGTTTGGAAAAACACTGAAAGCAAACTGTGACCATCAAATCCAATTGTAAGATGTCAGAGGCTGCCTTTCTTTCTCACCCTGATCTACTAAGAAAAAAAAATGCATATAAATGTATAAGCTATGTAACACAAATCATGTAACTTCAGCAGTTCTGCATGGAAGTTAAATGCACTGATAATTACATTTAAAACTAGCATTGCACAGTACAAAGAGACATGTTGAAAGTCATGCTAATCATTTACACTGGTAAATTTCATCCCATTAATGACAACTTTTTCTGCTTTTTGCACCAGGACCCACACATTATACAGCTGACTCTCTTCCTCGTTCTTGATGTCTTTTAACCCCTGACAATGCCTAAAGAGAAAATTTCAAATCTCCTCCTTTTCTTTTGTCCTTCAGAGATCACTAACTGCAACATGTTCTCCAAGTCAGCAAATGCCACTGGAGTTCAGCTCCCTGTGGATTCCTTTACAACACACATTTTGGGAAGAGATGACCCAGTCTCCAGCGATTTTTTCCGGATCCTCTTCCTTTTTATGGGGCAGAAGTGGGAAAAGTACAAAAGGCAGCAGATCTGTCCCCACCAACTGTTAATAGCCTTTGTTCTTGGACTCCTTTGGTGAGATTTTCCTCATTGTTAATGTGCTTTTCTGGATTTTGGTGTGTTTATTTCTTGTCTTTTTCCTGGACCAAAGACATCCAATTTTCCATTCACTCTTCTGATCAATTTCTTTTACTTATAATCAATTTTCCTGTCTTTATCTCAACTTGCCCCAGAAGTCCCCAAGCAGCGACCTCAGCTCACATTTGATATAAAGTTATATTGAGTCTGTTTTCTGAAGCTCTTTCCTTATCCTATACACAAAACATAGCTTTACAAAATAATTAGAGAAAGATGTTTGAATAGAGATTTAAAGAGACTTCATGTCTAACCAGATGAGACCCAAACAGACAAACTGCATTAGAAAGATTCAGAACTTTTGGCAAACCCCCCTTTCTTTCTTTCATTCTTAAGAGAACCATCTGCTACCATACAACCAATAATTGATAGGCCTTTGGCCTGTGGTATGAAGTGTCAATGAAAGATTGGGTCAGACCTTGCCTAATTTTGTGGTCCCATGCCTGCAAATAGCCCTAGCCACACTTGCATGCTGAACAAGAGGCTCTAAATAAAAAGGCAGCAACCTATTTGGTGAAGTGAACAAAGGAGAAAATAATGGTGTCCATCACCCCACCCCTCAACCTCCAGCCCTCTTCCCAGAGCGAGATTCTCTCGCCATCTGGACACCTTCTCTGGGTGAATGTGCCTGGTAACCAAAGTAGTCTTGGTGACTCTTCTTGACCTCCACTATTGAAAATGTGAGCCACAGGTTTCCTTGTATCTCAATCAATGAGCACGTATCATAGTGCACAGTGTCCTCTGCCACCAAGGATTAGTTCTCATATAAAATGCTCTACCCTTTCCCCTATTTCTCAGCCCTTTACCAGTTACCGGTCATTAGAAGATGACCAAGCCATGAAGTCACTAGGTGTAAGGATGGCCTTGGGCCTCAGCCTAAGCAACTTCTCCACTTTGAAATCTGCATTCTCACCAGGCACAGGTGTGCCTGTGATCACCAGGCATAGCCCTGACATAAACAAGTCACTTCTTCTCACCCTGACAAACTCAGAGTGAAGTCTCTGTTATGTTGCCCTCGTCCCAATAAGGGTGAGAGGCAAGAAAATCAGGGTGAAGACCATCATCAGGTGCTTTAACCTCAGGGCAAATGACATCACTGAGAAATCCAGTAGCCACTGATAGGGATTGAAAGGGTGGTCAGAATCTCCCAAATTTAGTATAAATGATGGAGCAAATAAGCAGACATTCAGCCAGCCAACACTGATGCCCTCATGTTGGAGAGCCTGATGGGGACGTGGACTGACATCCCAACTCTTCCCATCGTTTGTCTGGTCTTCTGCATGTTCCTCACCACTCTCAAACTCTACAGCCACATCTTGGCCCTGATGAGAACTGCAAATTCTCCCTTAGAACCTCTCCTCAACCGGCTGTCAGTTCCACCCCAGGAGAAGCCTGCCTTGGTCCCTGACCTGATCACCGCGGTATGAGTGAGTGTGCATCTCTTGGACTTAGAGCCTAAGGCTTGAGACTTCAGATCTGGCACTTGAGCACAGCATGCAGAAGGAATGTCTATCATGAGCCTGTCATGATTAAGTGTGTTTGCAGTGTTTAGAATTAATCTAGAATTGTTTGCTGTGAGTTGATTATGTCTGTTGCAGTGCCCAGCATTAAGGATTGTCATTTTCTTGATTAAGAACCTATAGAGTGAAATTGTATTGAGTGATTTGAGTGAATAAAGCATTGAAAGGGCAGAAGCATGTGAACATTCTTTATTTCTCCCCCTCGACTGCATAAGTCTCACCTTTGCCCATTGCGATACTAGGCCATATAGTGCTCATGTGTCATTTTTCAAGCCCCAATTTACTTCTAGTTGAACCAAACATTAAAACCTGTGCATTTGGCCTTAGTAGTTCAGCTACCTCACCTCACAGTGTTTAGTAAGAGTAGAAGCTACAAAATCTAGTGAGAAAGTGTTTAGTGACAGTGTGGGATATAAAAACTAACCCAATGTCTCATGGGTAATTATTAAATAACATTTTGAATTGAGTGCTTATAATGTGCTCTGTGGATGTATTATTTTATTTAATCCTCACATATGTATGAGACAAGTGATGTTACTGTATGTTTGACAAACAAAGAAACAAGCTTAGAAAAATTAAATACCTAACTAAGTTAAAATAGTTAGCGAGTAGTGACTCCAGAATTTAAGCCCAGGGTGCCCAACTCCAGTGAATTCTTTTTTAACTGCTATGACATCAAGTATTTATGCACACCTATACATTTATTCCATATTCCAAAACTTCTTCATTACAAAATTATGGAGCATCTTGATTGCTCTGGAAACTTTGGTTAGTATTTAGAATTTTTTATTTTGTTTCTCATCAACCTCAAAGCTCTGTGATGGATTTTAATGTGTCATTTCGCTGAGGCATGATTTAAACCTAGATGGCTGTAAGGTTGTTGTGGAGGAAAATACACAAGATAAAAAGAAATAAGAAAATGCCTTTGCTGGGGATACAGCTGAGAAGGATGTGAGCCTTTCAACCTTAGCTGTAAAATGAAAGACATCTACAAATGAAGGTACAAGTGCTTCCCATGCTGGTCTGGAAGCTCAGAGACAGCAGCGATAACAAGGTACCTCCCCTCCCCGCTTCCTCCCCAACTACAGAGACCGCACAATAAGAACACAAGGCTTTCTCATTTTTATAAGCTCCAAAGTTCACTCAAAACAAATTTCTGGCTTTCCCCGAGGACTTGTCCTCAGAGGCAAGTTGGATTTTGACAGCAGCTGTCATCTTTCCATTCTGCAGAAATGTCAACAACATCCGCTCTGTCCAGAAAGACACTTTTAGGTTTGTCCTCAAGATTCCAAGGAGCTATCAGGCTGATTGAAGGGTGTGCCACACCCGACCGGGCAGAAAAGGAGAAAAGCAACATGTGTTGGAGTGGAACATGGAGTCCTTTGTTTTCATTACCTGAGTGAATTAGAATTCTTGAGAAAGACAGAGACTGAACGGCAGAGATAAAAGGAGAGAGCAGAAGAAAACCAATCTTAGAAATAACTATGTTCTAGTCAGGCACATGCCTGTAATCCCAGCAGCTCGGGAAGCCGAGGCAGGAGAATCTCGAGTTCAAAGTCACCCTTAGCAACTTAGTGAGGCGCTAAGCAACTCATTGAGACCCTGACAAAGTAGGGCTGGGGATGTGGCTCAGCAGTTGAGTACCCCTGGGTTCAATCCCCAATACCAAATAAAAAACTAAAAAGAAAAGAAATAACTGTGTTCTAAAAGAGAGCAGCAGCAATCAGTGATCACTATGTTGGTCCAATTGGGTATAAGGTTCCCCTTCCCTCTCTCATCCTTTTCTACTACAGAAGTGAAATAAATAAGCTGCCTATTGATCTAATTCTTGCAACCCTAACAACTTCTTCACAGATAAAACCAACAGGAGAGGAAAAATATTCTCTTTCTGACAGAGGTGGCCCTCAATAGAATTTGTGACAAAAATCAATCAATAAATGAAGTCATAGATTTTGGCACTAGATATACTTCAGACCGGTGTGTGATCTGGATCAAGTGACTCTTCATGTCTCTGAGCCTCAGCTTCCCCATCTGTAAAATGAGGAAGTCAGAGAATTCTCTAGGTTCTCTTTCAGTTTTGCCCCTCTTATCTGTGTTTCAAGGAAACACAGCCACATGACTGGTCCCAGCATATGTCTTGCAAAGTAATTCCTTATTTTGGACTCATTCATCCGAGGTCTGTTTGCTAAGGAGTCGTTCATCTGATTACTGTACATTGAAAAGTCTCCATTTCCCCTTCAGGCATGATGCTAAACCCTGAGAGGCAGTGAGGGAAGAAAACAGTCACTTGTCCTTAAGGAGCTTGCTGTCCACCGAGGCCAGGCTGCTCCTGGACAATCTCTCGGGCTGGTTTCAGCTCTGGCATCCTGGACTCTCTAACTGGAAACATTTCAAGGTCCAGAGTTCCGTGTAACTAAGACTAGTAACAAAGGCACAGTCATCTGTCTGCCAGAGGCTCTCTTCCAAAATGCCACCACTGTGGTGATGACATCTGTCATCTCGCCTCATGGAAGATTCCCCAACACCAGCCTTTGTCAGAGGCCTTTAATCACCAGTTAGAGGAAAGCTGGCGTAGTGACGAGCTCAGGTGTCAGCTGCCATGGCCTTTCTCTTCAAAGACTTGTTTAGATTTGGGTTCCTCTCTGAAAATAGATGACAAAAACTAAGGGCTTTGTCATGATTCACCAATACTTCATCAGTATACTCAGAATTAGAACCTCTCTGATTTGGGTCAAAGAAAACACTTGCCAGTCAGAACAGGGAACATGACTTCCACCATACTACTGGGCTCCCCGGGGGCCAGACACCTCCTCACACTCTTTCTTCCCTTTATCTATGTGATGAGTAATTGACACGGGCCAGCAGAGAAGAGGCGGAGTCAATATAACTACCACTAGCAAGCTCAGCCCTGCTACTGTGGCTGTGTCTGAGCCCCATGCTCTATCAGAAAAGAGCAAATTACCTCATTGTCAAGGGCAAAAGAGCAGGTAGTAGACACGGTCTCCCTCAGTTCTTAGGCTTTGCAATCCAGGACAATGAAAAGATGCCACCTTTCCTCACGACCCCCCTCCCCCCCACACACACACACAATGCACAGAAAGTACTGCCTGTGGGTTTAGTAACCTAGGCCAGAACACTCACTCTGGCCCTTTCTGTGGTACAAGTACCACCCCATGGAGATGGGGTTCACCCTGGCAGGCAAGGCCCCTCACTCTGAGGTAAGACAGGACTCTTGGTCTACCAGCTCCACAGACACCCACTTCTGATCCCTGAGTCTTGGTTTCCACATCCCCCAATGAACTTAGTGAGTGTGCTAGCTCAGAGGGCTGGCCAGTGAGAGTAAGCCAGACAAGTCCAAGGGTCACAGGGTCTGCTGTAGGGCTCAAAGTAGGGGTCAATGTCCAGGTAGCCCTTCCTATCTCCTTACTCTGACTGCCCTACCTGAGAATGGCTCTGGGTCTCTTGTGATTACTTATTTTGCAATTAACAAAATCAAGGTTGGTTGGTTGGTTTGTTTGTTTTTCTGAAATTTTCCTTAGGGCCT